TCATAACTGAACAATCTAGGCTTCCTCCCGATCCGACACAAAATGCGGCTCACCACTGCCCGCATAACGGGCACTCCCAGATGCCAGGTTCTTTGGTGGGACTAGTATTCACGTCAATGTTGCTGGTTCGATGGCACTTGAGACACAGGACCTACCAAAGCGGCATAGACTACACGACCAGCAAAGTAGCTGCGATGGTCACATCAGTGAGAGTAGCCGCCCTGACTATGGGAATTGGGGAAGAGTACTGAGCCTCCTCAGAGAAGATATTCTTGCGCAGCAGCTGGATCAAGTCATTTCGAATAGAGTTCACGAGATCGGCAGTTTGAGCGTTGCTAGAGTCAAGCCCGATAACCTGCAATGCCACCATAGATTAAGACTGTGTTTAAGGGCTGTACATGAGTGAGGCATTTGACAAATTCCAGCACAGGATCCTCTGAGAATCTCGCCGATCCTGATGATCTCGTTTCGTTGGCCGCGGCTCTCGCCTACGATCGATGGAGCATGAGTTGGTTGGTCACATGAGAGCTTGACTCACCGCGGCGGCTTGCATCGGGAACTCCCACTTCATCATGAATTGATTGAGACGTTTCTCAAGTCGCTCCTTCCTTGTCAACTACAAGCGAAGACTATCCTGCTAACACAACTTAACAAGATGAGGACCCACCTCGAAGTCCTCGTCGTCACTTTGAATGGAATCTTCGTCATCTTCCGAATCATCACTTTCCTCACCCTCGACTATCCTATGCCGGAGCTCGGCCATCTGCAATCAACAGTTGCTATGAAAAAATTGAGTCTCCCCGACGACACCAACTACTGGCAACAATTAACACTAGCACTCCAACCTACCAAAGCTGCATCGTTCTGCATCACTTGGGTCACATTGGAAACGTACCGATACAACTTCTGGCGGAGTTCCGGAAGGACTGATGATGATGATAAGCAAAGATCGATACGATGTTAGCCCTACTGGTATTGCAAGCATAGGCTTGCACCTCAGCCATGATTTGCTGATCTGTCATCACTGCTGCTGCTGGATCGGCATCTTCCTCCTCCTCCTCGTCTCCAGAGTTACTCCCCTCCCTCCTTCCTCGCCTCGCATCATCCATCAGATCGTCGAGCTCACATCGAGCCTGGACTTGGGCGTCGGTAGCACGCTGAACCGGAAGGTCTACGAGCAGCAGAACCAAGCCTCTCTAACTCACAGCTATCTCGTCCTCTCTCTGTTGAATCTCCTGGGCTCGTCGTCGCTTCTTCCGCGTCTACCAAGACCATTGGACATGTCCAGTAACAATCGTCACACCTTCTCATCCAAAGTCACAAGCCTTTTCCCTCGTTTCAGCTTCTCCATCGCCTTCATGCAGTGCACGAGGTACTCCGAACAAAACCTACAACCACAACTATCTCACAACTGAGGACCAAGTCAGCGGTTTACACATAGAATGGCGCTCTCATCGCATTCGGGAGGAAGTCTGCCACCTTCCAAATCGCATCGATCTCCCACTCAGCATTGACCGAACCCGTGGTCGGGTCCGTCGGCAGAGCTGACCAATTGGCCGGGTCCATCCATAGTAACCCGTAGGCGCACATATCTACATATGTTTCCAACCAAAGGAGAAGTTAAGGGTATCCTACCTATGGTGCTGACATCCTGAAAGACCACAGCGAGGGGCTGTAGGATGGGATGGTTCACCACAACACTCTGCATGCCCTTCCACACTCTAGTAACATCACCGACCGATATCTGCCGAGACCTTGATATGTTAGACTATGACTCTGAAGAATCTCTCACCCTTCCAGTAGAGATTATCAATTTGGTACAGCTTACATACACTATCTCTAAGCTTCCAGCGGAACGTTTAAGCTCGGACACCAGTAGACGTAGTACAAACGACATAAACTGGAGGACCTGGGAAGGTAAATGAGCTCATCAGCGAGCCCTCTCGACAGGGCATGTGGCACCTTGTCCCGTATACTCCTATCTTTCACCCTACTGCAAGTAGCCGAGTCGCAGACCCAAGGGAAGAGGCCATCCAGCAAGCTTTGGGTTTGCTTCAACTCACATTCGAGAGCGCTGACTGTTTCGGCATAAGACCCTAGCAGCAGAGGCAGTCACTGTGATCGAGGGACGACCTAGAGGGGCACTCACCGTCTGCTATCTGCTGCTCTCGCCGAAGCCTGTCGGCATCGTTCTCGGGTTCTTCCAGCAATTTCATCAACTTCGCCTCCGCTGCTCTCCCTCGCGAATATAGCTTCTCCACCGTACGTATCAGGCACGTGAAGGACTAATCGAAAGCCAATAGCATATTTACGATCACAGGAGAGCAACCGCTCCTTCACACGATCCACCCAGGTTCCACCCCCAGGGTCACCTTCGTTGATGAGACCGAAATATCCCCTCCATCTGCTACTGCTGGTATACCAGCGTTGATATCGATCAGATCAGTCAAGCCCGTCTCGATGTACTCCGGCGACTCCGCTGCGGTCCCTCCCAGGGCTCCACCGGACGTTACCACTCCACGCTGGCGAGAAAGCTCACCCCCAAATCTGTCGACGGGTCACAACCATACTGCAATAACGAACTCACAGATCAGAGAGCTGTTGAGCTTTGACAAGAGCTGTGGTACACACTGTACTGTGTAGATCAATACTAAGGCATACGGAACGGTAAATGCCTGGGTTGTTGATCTAACACAAAAGGCATGAGCAATAGACAACAGAGGAGAAGGGACGGCACCTCCGCTATGTCCCCGAGATCAGGCCGGCCAGTCTTGGGTTCTAGGAGCAGTTCTGAGGTCTCAGCCAGGTCCACTCGATCGACCTACGCACCGTCACTAACCTGATAAGAGGCAGGGCAGCTCACCTCTTCCTGTGGGGTAGTGTTGAGGACCAAGCCTTGCTCCTTGGCACTGAGGAAAGAGACATGATCAAGGACTGTGGGACCATAGCGACCAACCTCCTTGCGAAAATGACATCCCAAGCTGCGGAGATAGCTTCATCGTGACCAGGGGGGAGGGAACAGACCGGCACTCCACTGAGGCGTGCCAACGACAACCTAACGAGTATGTCCACCAAGTATCGAACGAATGACTCGAACCTGTCGTGTTTGAACCATCCTTGAAGTCTCGGCAAACGCTTAGCCCATCGTCGTAGATTCCAACGAACCCAGTCTATAGGAGGGAAGCTGGCATCAGCCGGGCCCATCTGGATAGAGGAAGAGCAAGCCTATCACCAACGGATGACGATTCCCTACCGGTGTTCGCATAATGATCGACTCGTTGGGCACGAAGGGCGGCGACATACGACGGAGGTCTTCAGCGTTAGTCGTCACCACAGTGATCTGATCTCTAATCCTCCTCCTCCTCCTCCTCCACAACAACAACCACCCTCGCCTGACCCTCACCATAGCGCCATGCCGTCTTTGCCAAGTGGAGACCTGCTGCTCTAGAAGACCTTGTAGCTGAGCAGGAGTGTCCGGATATTCTGCCTGAACCAGGGAGGTAGCTCATTCACTGATACACCCACGACGACTCGCCTGAGCCGGGCCTATACGATCCAACGCCGCCGCATTAGCCTCTCCAATGGCTCCCAACAGAGACTCTCGGAAGATGCGGTCAACACTCGTATCAGTGACTCTAATAAGACGTCTATTATGGTCATAACTCTACACCTATTTCTTCTACTGTTGTTCCGGCTCTGTCCCACAGACATAAACCTTAACCTCACCAAGGGCCTCAGAGTAGGCCATACCAGACGGAAGGTAACTGACAAGCATACGGGTCCTCCCCCTCCCAGACTCCCCGACCCTTCTCGTGTCGAGGTAGTAGCAGTATAGTGATGGTTCTTACACTGCAGCAAAGATCCGGGTATAGTCAACAGCAGCATCATGAGTGATCATGAAGTAGCTAGCACAGGAACAATTCGTTAAAACAGTTTATAGCCCTACACCTGCTTACATGTAGCAATGCCGTGGAGGAGACTGTAGCATTGGAAGATACTTTTCCGAACAGGGTCGTAACTAGGGGGAAGGCTCAGGAGACGGAGCGGTAGAAAAGAGTCATCACGTTTCGAGCTGAATCTAGTCTCAGGTCACTGAAAAAGGAGTCGGGAACTTTCGTAGGATCGTGGAATTGAACCTGTGCGGGAATCAGGATCCACGGTTAGGAGCCAGTAGCTTCTACCGTGTTGGTAATTGTAGTCTCAACTTCAAAGACAAGCGATTGTGGTGTAGGACATTCGAACAGACGGACGCCCCTCAAAGAGGCCGGCACCACTCGGCACAGCTCTTCATACCACTCCAGACCAACTGCCGGCTTCAGCGTAACCTATCAAGTTCAGAAACTGCCTCCCACTTTAAAGTCCGCGATGT